AAGACTCATGAATTTCGGTCGCGTTATAATGGCCAGATTATTGCGGAAAAAATCAGCATTACAATATACCTCATCCAGTGTGTCCAGCTGAGCATGTCGTCTCCGTGACGCATAGCAAGTTCGCGGGGTTAAAAACCTTGTCTTCTTACCAATGTAACACAATGCTTTTTATATTTTCATCAGTTATGTTACTGCCATCATCACAATCATCAGAAGCAGCAGCATCGTCATTCTCAGCATTATCATCATCATCATGCATATGTCCACAGCAGGATAGGCTATAATCTTCATGTTTCCACACCCTTGATGCCATTAATTGCTGGAATATTTCATGTGTGGCTCATCAAGTGGAACCCAGTCAAGGAACTTCATTGGTCCGATGCTCATTTTTGTGGCTATGTATCCCTCCGACTGACACGAATGTCTTTCAACTTTGATACTGTTTCACAAAGTTGTTTTAGTACTGTATTGTACCCTGTTTTATTAGCGTGCTTTTGGTCACTTCCTTGATATTATTCGATCTCGTTTTATTGAGCTTCAGCGAACCCTATTGGGACGTAGCTCCATTAAGCAAATGTAAATTTTATGCCAACATATAAAACAGTAATTGTAAGTATAAATCTAGGTATACTAATGTTAAAGCTTTTGAGGCCTAGTTCTCAAGCAGTCGTGTCTCGGTTAGCAACTGTACGATTCATTGGAGATTGAGACACTTACGCAGCATATGGGAATCTTTATTCAGGAAACGTTTCGCCACACAGTGGCTTCATCAGTCCAATACAAAGAGGAAGGCGTAAGGAGAGGAGGAGTATGAGGTAATCAGTCCCTCAGCCTGGAGTCGATTCCCATGTGCTGCATAAGTGTCTCAATCTTCAACTTGTCGGTTTTTCAAACCATTCATCACGATTCATTGGGTTGGTGACGACTCCAGCTATGAAGACAGATACAAGCAACAGAACAAACTTTTATCGAGGGAGCATTTCGATCTAAGAACTTTTTAAATTAACATATAAATTTGTCTTGAAAAATTTCTCTGGGCATGTCTTGCTACATGCGTCTTTGTCTTCTTTTTTCTGTCAGCAGTGCCTCCTCCTCCTACCTTGGAAACCTTTGATGAGTTTCGAAAGTTTTTCTAGTCCCGGAGCCCGGCCATGGGCCAGGCTCCGGGACTAGCCTGGTCAACCAGCCTGTCGCTGCTGGAAGCTTGCTGCCCCACATATCCATCACAATCTGGTTGATCTGGCACCTGGTGAAGATAAGTGTCCAATTTTCTCTTGAAGACGTTAACACTTGTTCCAGCAGTGTTTCTAATATCTTCTGGTAAGATGTTGAATAATCTGGGGCCACGAATGTTGATACAGTTTTCCCTTATTGTGTCCATGGCACCGTTGCTTTTCACTGGGTTTATTTTGCACTTCCTCCCATATCTTTCGCTCCAGTATGTTGTCATGGGAGTGTGCAGATTTGGGACCAGGCCCTCGGGTACTTTCCAGGTATATATTTTTATGCATCTCTCCTCAGCTCCAGTGAGTACAGATTCAAAACTTTAAGGTGTTCCCACTAATTTAAATGCTTTACTGGCTCTATGCAGGCTGTAAACGATCTCTGTATTTGTTCAAGCTCTGATATTTCTCTTGCCTTGCTTGGTTGGTTAACTGTGTTTACCTCCGCTTGTTTCTGCGTGGTGCATTCATATAGTATCGATCGTGAAGCCAGAACATGCTGGAGGAGAATGTAATAGCTGGAGACCATGTCCGAGGCTCACTGGTGTGCTCGGCGCTACGAAGAAACTCCAACAGCTTACGGGGAGAGATCTATTGATTTTTTCCTAAAGTACTTTTGTTTTCTTGAAGGCCTCGGTCAGATGACCAAAAGCTCCAGCTGTGGGTCATCAAGACCCGCGTCAGGAAACACTTGTCCTGTTTCCTGACAAACCTAACCTAACTTTCTTCCAGACATGGGTCCCCAGTTAAAAGCAGAGGTGGTACCTCTTGATATTTATTATTATTA